TACAATATTCGCGGCGGTAAAATAGGAAAATTTTTAGTCTTAACATTATATGGGCATCCAGCTCGCAAAAAGAAATAATAAAAACATCATAGCTTTTTTGTGTGGGAAACCCTAAAGAGAAAATCACAAGGTCATGTCCAGTTGAAATGATTCCACAAGTGTTTAAATAAATTACAAATGAATGGTTCTTCCTTGAGATTGAGGACGATCAAATTACAACGATCAACCGTTAAGTTGAAATCTTGCTATGAGTAGGGATCTGACGTAAATCCAATATCATTCAGTGGACAGATGGAAATCCATAGTTAGTGGTCGGGAGGAAGTTCATCGATAGTTGGTGGTTGGGAGGAAGTACAACGACAAATATTGGTCGGATGGAAGTCTGATGACAACTGGTTGACAGGCAAAGGCCCAGAGATAGTCTGACAACGATCGGTGGCTGGACATAAGTCTAACAATAGTTTGACGACGATTAGTGGCCAGACGGTGGTCGAGGAGGAAGGATTTAGTCGAGGAGGAAGGATCTGGTGGCAAGAGAACTCATATTTCTCTCTCCGTTCTATTCCTTGCTTGCGTCTCTCTTAATAAAGAATAAGAGATATAGTTATCATTTTTTGGGAGTAACATGACTAATAAATAGGGATAAAATCAATGAAAATTGGGAGTGTTTTTAATGGACGGCCGATATCAACTCCCTTGATTTTGGACTGTTTATCGAGTATTTAAGTGTCTTAAAGACATCAGAATTTGACGATCTTGGGCTAATTGGATTCATCCAGTCGCTATATTCTACTATATGCATGTTAATTTTGGAAGCTTCCGGCTCAAATTTGCCTTGAGATTTATGCCCGATCAAGATAATTTTTGATGATTTATCAATTATAAAAATTTAAACTAATTAAATTTAAGCTATAGCACCCTACCTAAATTTTCTTTTTAAAAAATATGAACCCTTTCGGTAAAGCAAAAGCAAGCTGCTCAAAGCCAAAATGATATTTTCTTCCTTTAATGTATGCGAAAAAAGGGAAAATTTTTATTATTTTTTCATATTTATATATATAACTTTAGGATTTGCTTCGCTAGCTCTGCTTGGCTCATCTTCTTATCAAGCCGCGCCTTCTGGATTGCTAGTCTTAGATCCGCCGACACACGATCAAGCGCCGCCGGCTCCGTCTGCTCGTCCAGCTTCCGCGCGTTCATTGCAGGCTGTGATGCCGCCGAAGAGCCTTTCTTGTTCGATCCGGCGTCGAACTTCTTCACCGTCTCGATCTCCGCGCCAGATCTTATCGCATTGTTCACCACTTTGGGATCTTTGAGATCTGCGCTCTTGGGCTTTCGCCTTGAAAGCACCACTGGATCCCAGTCCTGGGTTATGTTCCCCGTTGGACGTACTGGCATTTCTTCAAGCAACTCTTCTGCGAGCTGAAGAGAACGAGGAGTGGGGACGACGCTTTATACAAAGAGGAAAGGGCTCGGGTTCTAGAACAATCTTATTTTTTTATTTCATTTATTCTTAAATTTTCTGAAACTTTCTTGCACTGCAAGTTTATTTCTTCGTGATTTATGAAATCTGGAAGGTTCGAGAGTGACGAAGTATGGTGGAGCTGGCTCTCCCGGTCTATTTCGGATCACGTTAGGTTTGTTTATCAAATAAATAATAATAATAATAATAATAATAATCTATTGAAATATTTATGATGTTAGAGAGATAAATAATTGAATGTCTTAAATTTAAATGAAGATTCTAACAGACATGCCAATAGGGAAAAGAATGAAACAATCATAAGAGACGATAAATTTTTTACATGAAAAATATAGAATGGGGAAAAACCATGTAATAGAGCCTAAAAAAATCCCTTTGAATTGATTGTTTTATGAATTGATCCTATAATTGCAGTTTTAATAACTTCCATCGTACGGTGCAACGAGCAGTACGATTCCTCATAACTACCAAAAACTAATTCGACGACCCACCTTCTTGTATCCCATGCCTTGTTGTACGGAATCTTTATGCCAAATTTACATTCCAAATGATTAATAATTTCACATGGTTTCATGTCTAAATGTTGACAAAAGACAGTTTTAATGTAGTAACAAAAAAATTTAGATGTGCAATTATGATGCCCCCCTAATATGATAGGGTGCATGCAGGTATGTAGGTCCACTATGTGTGACTTTCATATCCCACATAGTCGCTTGCTCTTCAAAGCATGGAGACGTCATAGACACAGACCTGAGGGGTGGTCATGTTGTGCACAAATAAGTGTAAAGCCTTGTCGTGTTAGACTTATACTTAATGCACCCAACATTATTGATGATTGACAACCCATTCAGAGCATATTGTAACCCATTCATAGCAAACTATAAGAAAATCACTAATTACCGGTAGCTTTTTTCGACGGCCTATTTTTCGGCGACTTTCCGGTGGCTTACGCTGAAATATTTCCAATTGCTGATTTTCCAGTGTATTTGTTTCCGGCGAATTTTAATAATATCTAAAATCATAAATTTGTAATTTAATTAATTATTGATTTAATAACCTAATTTAATTGCTTATTA